GAGATCGGACCACCGCACAGTGGGATAGAATTTAGGTGGCCAAAAATAATAGTAACATAAAATTGAATATATTATGATACATTATTATGAAAACAATATAAATACATTATAAATATAATGTTATTTTGAAGTTTTTAATGTTAGTAATACATGTTTATGATTAAATTAATTAAAATCGGTATCAGTTTTTGATTCGTAAATAACACTCGAAAAACTGTGATCCCCAATGTCGATAACATCTACTTTTAAAATTAATAGCGACAGAACTTCTGCAGAAAATGACGATTTTTTTTTTTTTTTGACGATAATTTTTCAGGGAAGATATGTAAGGATCTGATGATATGAATAGAACATACATGAGGTCTTCGTTTGTATTCACTCTCGAATTTTTGCGAGTGTTATGCTCTCTATATTTATTAAACTCTTTATTTCGAGCTTCCTGTGCTTCTTCTAATAATTATCCTTTATATTAGTAATATCATAGGCAATATTCATTAACTGTTCAAACAAGATAGAATTTAAATACAATATAACAATTACATATTGGCAATATCGAAGTGTGAATAACATCAGCTATATGTATTAAAACCTTATGCATGGAGGGTGGCATATAAAACCACGGATAAAGTGACACAAATAATTTTGCCGTATCAATAGTATATTTTTCAAACTCTTGGTCATTAATTTCATATCCACTGACAGCTATCCACACATAGCAGTCAAGATAGTGCCAAATTTATTTATTAATATTAAATCTATGCCGGTGATTTTTGAACTTTATTCCGCGTTTTGAAATAATTTTCTTGCAGTATTACCATCGTTAGTAGTTCCTCTATCTATACTTATAATATTTTTTTTTTAATGTACATCTAATAGTAGTTAAAATATGTACGAGTTATAAAACTTAAAGTTTACCTTTCAAAACAATGTCCACCAGTAATCCCATTTCTGTACTGATAAATTGAGTTGATTGTGTATGTTTAAATTTAAAATGTTTATAATTAATTTACCTTGTGGACTATGGCAAAGAATAAAATTTTTTTTCCTATAAAATGTATGTTTGCTTTTTTTCTAAATACATCGAGTTCTTGACTTCGATGGTTTTTAATTGATTGATATTGTCATCACCGATGTTTCGTAATAAATAAATCGATACATCGATACATCGATGTGCACAAAAAATTTGCCTTCCCTACATACAAGACCCCAAATATAACATAATATGATAGAGCGGACAAACGATTCAAACTAAAAAAACATTACACCGTGAAAATAGACTATGGTAAATTTATATTTCAGTATAGGTATATAAGGTATATATATATATATATATATATATATACTACACTATACTTTATTCGTGTTTATCTCATTATTAAGTATTAATTATTTTTACAAATAATTTTACGTGGAAATATCGAACTACCTGCTATTTGGCCTGGTTAATCGGCTATTTTCCAAGTATTACTGCTTACCGGCATCATCCACAAGAATCGGTAAAGCACGATTGAGCATAAAACGATTGAGCATAGACCTTTTTAGCAACACGATTGAGCATAGAATATTTTATGCGACGTTGCCACATTCACGTTGCCAAAATTTTGTAATTTATTATTTTCTCGTATTATTACACCAATTATTATGATATCTGACGCGAGCCGTGAGCTTTATCGGCTTTATAAATTTTATCGACAATGTTATCGATTAATAAATTAGTTCCGGAGCAAAACGACGTTTTAAACATTTAGCATCGGGGGAAAATATAAGATAATTAAGATACAAATCCAAAATTATTATAGAAATAATATCAGTGTTCGATCACCTGTGTAGTGTATAGTGCGTGTATACTTAGTGCGTTTTTCTATTTTTTTAAAATATGGATATAACAATTATTTTATCGGAAAGAGGCAAAGAATTGGCCCTAGTTAATTTATACAAGTATAAATTAATTGGAGAGCGAAAAAAAGACAATCTTTTGAGATGGAGGTGTACTAATAATAAATGTTCGGCAATAATGTTCTCGGGTTTCGATAAACGTAAAGTGATTGAAACTGCTGGACAACATAATCACGATAAAAATTCTATTGAGAAAATAGAAACGCAAGTTTTAAGAGAAAATTGCAAAAGAAAAGCTGAAGAATCAATTTACACACGGCCACTTAAAATTATTCGCACCGAACTTTTAAATTCTTCTCCAACATCAAATTTAAACAATCAAAATGTAAGAAATGTACGGAAAGCAATGTATGATAAACGGAAGCAGACCTATCCTAAATTACCAACTTCTTTGGATGAAACAATTCATCAATTAAGTGACTTAAAAAATGAAGAATGTTTTAAATATAAGGGTCAACAATTCATTTACATGCCGACTGATGATAATTTTGTATGTTTAACTACAGAACAAAATCTACAATTTATGACAAATAATTGTACTGAGTATTTTGGCGATGGCACATTTAATTATGCTCCAAAATATTTTATTCAATTGTACACAATACATGGATATAAAAATGGATACTACTTACCACTTGTTTACTTTTTTTTACCAAATAAAACTAGGTCTACTTATATTAAAATGTGGCAATTTTTAAATAATTTATGTTTGAAATTATGCGAAAAAAGTTTGCAAATTAACACATTTCATGTTGATTTTGAAATTGGAGCTCATCAGGCAATTACAGACGTGTTTGGAAATATTAAAATAATTGGATGTAGATTTCATTTAGGACAATCATGGTGGAAAAAAGTAAGAAACAGTTATATAATATAGTGCTTTTTTACTAAAATATAATAATTTGTTTGTAGATTGTTGGCGAACCTTCACTCAGAATAGCATACATGGACAACAGTAATGAACTAGGGAAATGGTTGAAAATGTTTTTTGGTTTGGCGTTTATTTCCCCAGAAGAAGTAGTTGATGCATTTCACGAGTTAATATCAATTTGTCCAAATGATGACGGTTTCATATTTTCTGATTACATTATACACAACTATATTGAAGATCACTGCCAGTTTCCTCCAAATATTTGGGCGGAAACTCCTTCGCTAAACCCAAGGTTTTTAACAATATTTTTTAAAACTTATTATAAAAACTTTTTTTACTAATTTGTATTGTTTTATTTAATTTTTTTTAGAACGACCAATGCAGCTGAAAGCTTTCATCGCACGTACAATTCACAGTTTTATTCACCTCACCCCCATGTTCATACAGTCGTTAGGGTATTGATCGAAACACAAGCGGAAACATCGACTAAGATCAATTCAATTCGACACAAGCCTGGAAAATTACAATCCGCAAAAGAAATAAAAAAAAATGAATTGAATATTCAAGCCTACAGCCAGTTTTTAAATCGTAAGAATACGGAATCTTTATTAATTTATTTAAGTCAAATTGGAAGCAGATACCAAGGTGTATCAATTTAATTTATTATTATCAAAAAATCTAGCTAGGTATATTATACTGTATTATAATATGAATGTGACAACTATTTATAAATATTTTGATTTTATTATTTTGATAAGTCATAAGTCATAACTATTATTATTATTTTATTATTAACAAAAATATCTATATACTGTGACAGCTATTTATACTACTATCATAAGTATTTTCATGCATATTAAATATTGACTATGAAAACATGATATTTTTTTGTCATGTTATATTTTGATTTATTATAATTATTTAAATAAATGTTTTTATACGATACAGTTCAAAATTGAAAATGGCAACGTTGCAGAGTTTTTTATGCTCAATCGTGTTGGTTTTCTTTTGTATTTCAATTTCCTTTGATACGCCGACAATTTATGCTCAATCGTGTCGCAAGAAAGGTGTTTTATGCTCAATCGTGTCGCAGCCACAAGAATGGATAGAAATTAGATGTGCAAATTTAATTTCCAATCTCTGTTTCTCCAAAATAATGTGTAGATAAATTATAATTAATATAAATCATGATCATAATGTGCGAGTATTTCATTGGCAGTTGTATACATTTATATATTTGGACGGTGCGGCGCGGCATGGCACTTCCACAAAATTCCACGTTACCCGCACCATAACGAGAATAATAATAATTTTTCTTGAAAATATGTTCGATAATAAATTATTAATAGCCAACAGGTACCATGAACAGCTTTGAGATACATACAATATATATCGTTGTATATATACTGCTGTACATACAATTTATATAAAACAACGGTGCTGGGGTAAAATATTGATTCCCATGGGCCATAATGATAATATTCGTGTTATTAATTCAATAAATAATGTCTTTATAATTTTAAATCATTGTTCAATAGATATTAGATTTGAAACAAGCCGTAATATTAGCCGTAGATTTTAAACTAATCGGGACCGACCGGACCGGACCGATCTAATTATATTTTAGAAACCGGACCGAACCGAAATTATTATAGTTTAAACCAGGACCGGACCAAAATTATTCAAAAAAAATATTGATTCGAACCGAACCGATCTTTCACCTATTTTTATACTATAATATCGGACCAGACCGGACCGTGCAGAGCACTAGTATCTATAAACGTATTTAATTTTTTTTATTTTAAACTCGTTCGGTCGTTGTTATATTCAATGCATACCGATTACCTCAATCTCATAAATTCGTATATTCTAATAGGGAAACACGTAAACTTTCAATTTTGAGTTAAAAATATTTTCTTTTAGTAAAAAGCAACTGTTACGGTGCAAAGTTTAATTGTCATATCTGCAAAGTAATGCATTAATGTGGTAACTCAAAAAATGGTATTCCTCGTAAAAAAAAAAAATCTGAGAAACAGTTTGATATGGTACATTTCAAATTTTTACATTAACTATGACATGACGATGTGAAATCATCAAAAATACATTTGATTGGTTTTTTTTTAATTTTTTTTTTTTCAATTGTTTTTTAAATTCATATGATACTGATTTGCTACACTAAATCATACACATAACGAATTATCGATTATATATTATATTAAATTGGCAAGTTACGGATTACATTTAATAATATCATTCACGAGTTTTCAACATAGGTTGCTGGATTAGTAATAATAATAAAAAAAACGTATAAAAATCATTGATCTTATTTTTAATCTTTTCGGTTCAACTTGTCAAACCATTACGCAATAAATAACAACATTGATCGATTAATTAGGAACATTGTAGTCGAAAACGAAGCATGATATTGATTTAGAGAATCACGACTTAACTTTCGACCGAACGTTCGTTGCGTTCAAAAGGACCTACGATAGACGTGTGTCCGCGATTTCCTATCCAATTATCTTACGCTCAACAGTCGATTTCGAGTCCTTCGGGTCGGACTTTGCGATCGCTGCATCGCCATACTGTTTGACGTTTTTCGGATCCTCGGAAGCCGACTTCTCCGATTCTCCTGATTCCGCATCGTCGCCGTCGTCGAGTGCAGCAGCGGTACCGTCCACCGACACCATTCGGCCAACACTCTGCTCCCCGGTGGCCCTTGGAGGTGCCACGGCGTACGGCATCATGGACTCCGACTGGACCGAGTAGCCGTACTGCCGTCTCATACCGTCGTCCATCCTCTCCTGGACCATTTGTGGAAGGATGGCGTCGAACGAGGGCTGTTGCGACAGGACCCCGCCAAAGCTGGATATCGGGTACTGCTGCTGCATCGGTTGCATTTGCATCGGCTGCTGTTGCATCTGCATCATCTGCCGCGCTTGACCGTTGTAGCCATATGACGGTTCCGGTGCGTTCTTCATCATGACCGACCTGAACGCGGCAGGAGCGAACCGTCTGGCGTCGATCGTGTCGTAGTCGATCGAGTCGCGACCGGGTTGGTCGAAAGGGATCGTCGCGATGTCCACGGTACGCATTATCGGCACGTCGTCGACCGATAGCTCCGGATCGACAGTCCTGACCATGGTCGGGTAACCGTCGTCGGCCACCGATCGGCCGTAGTATGATCCACCGCCGTAACCGCCGTTCTGATCGTACGTGGGGCACAATGACTTCATCGGTTGCACGTACTGCACCTGAGCCTGTTCGTAGTGCACCTGAGGCCGCTCGTAGTGGATTTGCGGCCGTAAAACGTGCACCTGAGGTTCTACCACGTGCACTTGAGGCTGTACCAAATGCACTTGTGGTTGCTGGTAATGTACCTGCGGTTGCACGTACTGCACCTGAGGTTGTACGTACTGCACTTGAGGTTGCACGTACTGCTGCACCTGAGGGAGCACATAGGTGGACAGTTCCTGGTGGTGTTCGGGCTGTTGCACGTACACTTTCACGGGTTTGGGTTTGAGCAGGTTGCACTTGGCCGAAGCGGTTTTCGCATCGGTTCGCCTATCTTGGTTGGCAATGGCGGTCGCGGCGTTTTCCGTTTTCTCGGCCAACAGCATGGCCAAGGTCGGTGGGGCCGCGTCGCCACACACGACCGTTTTCTTTCCGGTTTTTGACACGTCAGCCAAGACGCACAGCTTGTTCTTCACGGCCGGCACGATGTCCTTCTTCGAGCGCGGTTGGCTTTGATCGGCTAGTGTTCCGACCAGGCAGATGACGAGCAATACTAGAGCGTACTTCATGTTGACGGATTGCTTAGCGATCGATGACTGGTTTCAAACGCCCGATGTCGGATATAAAAGTCCGTCCGTGCCGCCCGAATATTAGTGCTGATCGGCAGAAATCGTTTCACAACCGTATCTCTATTGAAAAATGTACAATGAGGCTAAAAATTCAACATAAATGATTACGAAATGGTAATTGAAAGACAACAGCGGATGGTAACCGATCGACACGAATGTTCCGTGTGTAAACAAAATTATTGTAGTGTTACGATATTAAACAATAGACTTCCGAGTGTTGGAAAAACAAAAGTAATATGGTTATCGGGGATAAGTAGAAAAAAAAAAGTTCAATATTTGGCCCTTATCCATTCCTAAAACTGTTTCAGTTTATAAAAAAAAGAGTTTATTATACCATAATTGTTTTTTGTCTATAAAATCACACAACAGTATTTCAATTATAATTCTATAAACTAATACATTTAATTTCTTTCAATAAACATTTTGTAATTTATTTGATAGATCAATGTTTTTTGAAAATTACAAATGTCAAATACATACATTTTATTTACATTATTTTTTTTGCCTAATTTATTTTAAAAGTTTTTTTTACATAGTATTAAGTAATTAGTTAAATGAGTAAATTATTTTTCAAACGTGTATTTATTTACATAAAATTGTGAAGTATGAATGTCATTTTGATAATGTTTATTCTAATTAAATTGTATTTTAACTCTTTCGAGTATTATATCTTTCATGTAGTTATATATTATAACATATAATTAATAAGAATAGTATAATTCTCGTAAGTCGAAACTGTTTAAGACTTAACTGTTTTGAATCTAAATATGAATACAAACGAAATTAATAATATCGAAATTATACACGTCAAATATGATTATTTAAAAATATAATAATTTGTATTCGTTTAGTTGTTTATACATTACATTAAGTTACAACCAAAAAACAATTAATTATTATTCTACTAAACCAATATTAATTGTTATAAATTCAGGGTCCGGATATTAAACATAAAATGTAATGAATGAATTCTCAATTTTTTCTTATTTTTCTGCAGATTGCTAAATATGCCGTCACAAAATAAAATAATGCATTAGCTCAGTCGTTTCAAACTCGATATGAATATTTATTTCTTTAAAAATTAAGATTTTTTTTTTTTGTTTTATATAATATTTTATATTTTGACAGTTTGGTTCAAATAAGAGATGTCAAGTATCAAATTTTTCTCAAAAACAAAAATAAATTCTCATTATTATTAAAAAAAAATCAATACACAATACAATGTCTATTTTTCTCATAATTATAAACGATAAAAGAAACACATTTGGTCTTAATTTATTTTGTTTATTTTAAATATTAAAATGAGTAAAAAAAAATGTGTTTGTTCGCGAACCTTTAACGTAAATATATCGTTGTAATTACATTTGAGTTAAAGACCACATTAGGCATCTCTATAAATTATTTGAACATCCTACAAAAATAAAGTTGTATAATATTTATACTCATAAAATAAATGAGTTACATTTTTTTAATTATCGGATCTTAATGTAGTCATAGTTAAAACATATCTTTATGATATTCAATGAATGAAAAAAATATTTTCAATATAAGAGAACACATTTTTTTATCAAATATATATTTAAATATTTAGGTATTTAATATAATAATTTAACACAATTACATTTTTTATGTACAACAAATATGATTGTGAAATCGTCTAACAACGAATAGGAAATCGCATGACATGGTATGATAAGTACATTTAAATATAAGTTAGTAGTAGGTAGGTAGGTAGGTATACATGTACATTATGAAATGAAATAATAATTTATTAATTTATCGAACACTGCAGGTGTCGTCGTCCTATTCCGCCATCATGGAGTAGACTTTTTTTAAGACCAAAGGAGTCTGGTCGTCCTCGACCGTGGGCTGGTCATCGGTCAGCTCGCGGTCGTCGGTCTGCCGGGGTTCTAGGTGCTTGGCGTTGCATTCGCTCTCGGCCACGTCCTGGTCTTCGATCTCGGCTGGTTCGACCGTTTCCTGCTTGCTGTTACTGGTGGGCTGCACTTCAGCGTCGGGTTGCGGGGACTCGACCACGGTGGCAGTCGTTTGCGGCAGGATCACAGCGGCAGCAGCAGCGGCTTGTGGCATGTCCAGGGTTCCGTTGATGGCCGCTATTCTGTTGAACGCGGTCAACTGTCCGGTGAACCCGGGGTTCTTGCGCAGCTGTTCTAACATGAGCAGAGCATGCTGCTGCTGCTGGTAGTACTGCTGTTGCATCTGATGAACGGTGAGCGCGAACTCCTGCTGCCTGCTCCGTTGCTGTGCGAACAGCTGCTTCTGCAGCTGATCCCGGATCAGCGCTTCCTGTTGGCCCCTAAGCTCGTCGTAGTACGCCGATAGCTTTTCGACGGTGTTCGTGGGAGACGTGTCGTTCGACGGCGTCAGATGCGGTGCCTCAACGGATCGGGCCACTGGGAGGAGTTTGGCCACCGAGACAGGTTCGGCCACCGTTGCAACGGGTTCAACCACCGCCACGTTAGCTTGGGCCACCGGGACAACCTGTGGGGCCCGGTCGTTGGACCTGCCTGACCGGCACGCGGTCGGTTCCTCGTACTCGATCGGCACAGGTTTCGCCGCCATCGCGGCCGCCATCTCCGCGGGATAGTACTGCCTGAGCAGCGCTTTCGTGTAATCGTCCAGGAAGCATTGGTGTGGTTTGCCCGTGACGATCACAGCCGCGACGACCACCAGCACCACGCATAAGGTGGTTACCTCGTGGCAGCGCATGGTTTTGGGGTTCTTAGAATGCAAAGGAAGATGAAGGGCTCAGGACGATGGGCCCAGGACGACGGTGCTCCGGCAATTAGCTCGGGACGACGGGTGCGAGTCGAGGGAATATAACGAGCTGCTATTGTCGGCTGAGTGCTATAATACTTACTCGATGGTGGCGTGACGAACGATGGTTGATTCAAGCCCACGGCCCACTATTTATACGGTTCATATGACATTATCTCGTTTCGGCACGCACATGGGTACCTACGGGTTAATACATGTTTTCCCAAAACAAAACTCGAATCCGAGTGCGCGTGCCGACACGTAACGACCTTCCGGCCGACGTGTCCTCGGCCAAGTGTTATCGTCACGTTGTAATGACAATTCGGTTCGTTTTTCCCATCCAAACTGAATTACCTAATAATAGTCAATAAACTTTAAAGCTTTTCTAGCTAAAACTAACCGTTTCGATAACATATGAATCGAAATCTACTAATTTCATTTTGCATTTCAGATTTTTTTTTTTTATTGTTATTAATAATAATATTATAAAACTAGTCTACGACATTTTTTTTCATTTTTTTTTTTTTTTTTTTTTATATATAAGAGGCTTTTTTAACTATGTCTCACTAGTCGAAGAAAAATATAAAAACGATAAATTGTTAACTATCAGTGCACGAAATGCTCTATACTCCGATGCCTTTGATAAGACTGATCACAACACTAGAGTCATAAATAAGAAATATGATAAATCTACTTTTAACCTGTATTATGTCATTCGAATATTGTTATATTTGCTGTAGTCGTAGTAGCATTTATGGTCTCATAACAATATTGAACTTTTGATTGAGTCTTTTGTAATTTCATACGGTTCGGATATTTTAAAAATTGTTCACAATCATTACGAGTGATTTGTTCTATAGAAATGGGAAATTTTATGATTAATATATGTCATTAATATTGTCATTTATAATGACAATATTATTAATGTGTAACCTCTCTTTACCGATCGGTACATAAGCACGTACATAAACTGTTCACACTATTTCGAAGACATTTTCGAGTTTCTCCGATTTACGGAGAACACTATAGGAACATATCGAAATTTAGAAGTATTGTGTAACAAACAGTTTTCGAATGATCTCCGATGAGTAAAGCATAATAATTATTGTGTTCTATGTGTACGATTTTGTCGGACCTCTCGACCACTGCAACTCGGGATTGCTTTGTTTAAATATGTTCATGAATTGGAAACCGCAAATAATTTTATATATTTTCTAGACACTTTACTGGGCCGCGACGACGGGTCTGTGGCAAAGTTGTTTTGTAACGTCTCAACCTCGGAGCAGCTCATCAGCCTTTACAGTAGTGGTACGATACGCTCAGTGGCGGATCCAGGAATTTCTTTTGTGGGGGGGTTCTGAAAAATATTTTCTCTTGAGATATTTTTCATAATATTGCAGTCAATGATTGATAATGAATTAAGATAATAGTAAGTAATATAATACATTAATCTATATAAGAATACTAATTTCTTGTATGAATAAAAATAAAAATTACATACTTTCCTTCATACTTTTTTAAAAAAATAAAAATAATTTTCTTAATTCATATAATGATTGATTTTTAATATATATTTTTCCTGATTTTTTTTTTGGGGGGGGGTTTAACCCCCCCCCCCCCCCGTGGATCAACCACTGGATACGCTTCAGACGACCATGCGCTTGGTTACAATACAATACGATTAATTGGAACGGGACAGTTTTAAAAAGGTATACCATTTGCTACAAATGAATCGATCGAATAACAAGACGTGCGCGTTTTAAACGTGAAACAATATTTTTATTTTTTTAATCATAGTTATCGTTCATGATAATGATTATATAATAATATATTGTATAAGAACTTAAAAGTAAGCAACTTTAAAGTAGATATATATATTTATATAAATATGTATAAATTATATATACATAATACATTTTGTACAAAATTATTTATTATACCATATAGTATTATGAAAGTTTTATTATAGAACTATGTTAAGCACGGTTTTTTGAATAATTGAAAGCTTATCGTCGTTTCGTATGTTTCTATGTCATACTCGTACACACACATACACATACACACAAACAAACACGCGCGCGCGCACACACACACACACACACACACTCACACATAAATATATGTGTGTGAGTGTGCGTGTGTATGTTATATTTTATCGATAGGAAGAATACACGTAAACGCAAAAAAACGGTCGAACGAACGAAAATTGTATGCCCGATAAAACGAATTCTACTTCAATGTTTTGAAAATCACTTTTTGAATTTCGATCGAAATTTATTATTTTATTACAGTTTTAATTATTATTATTATCGAAAAAATAATCCAATAAACTTTATTTCCTGACGCACGATTTGAGTGATTTTGTTAATTTTGTGCGTCAAACAACAAGGAAAGGTCCACGTCCACGTGTCGCCAAATTTTTCAATTATATTTGAATATTTGAAAATTAATATTTTACTCCACAGCTATAACGCGCCACGTTTCACTAGGTACCTGCATCGGTGTTCAATGTTTTAGCATAAAACTCATTGTTGTCTAGACGTATATC